TAATATGAAAATTAAATGATAGTCATACTATATAATCATAAGATAAAATTGTCTTAGTTTAAAATAGTTTGATTGTTGGCACATTAGATAATTTTAAATGTCTTATTTCTGCTATTTGCATTTTAATTTCATCTCAAAGGACTAATTTACAATATTTGACTGCTATCTTCTAGACATCAAATTATTTGCCACGGATACTCACTAACTCATAGTTCACCAAAAGAGCCCTTGTTGATTTCATGTAAAAGAAATGCAAATGTTTGTAAAAATAAAACACTAAACATTATTTACTAAATGCTGATATAATTACAGGGTGCTCAGATTGTATTCTTTTTAATTATTAGATTAAGAAATCATGGGCAGAGTGGAGTGAGCATACAAACTTGACCACGTACACGAAGGAAAATTAAACGGAATGCCAACAATAGCAGAATGACTGATAGAATGAACAGAGAGGGCAAAATATAAACTCTCAAATATTAAAAAAAAAGTGTTCATTCCTTAAGTATTCATGCTCTAATAATATATCTTATGGTTTAGCATATTTGTCTGTTTTTAATTTACATATACTGTATTTACAGCCAAACAAAGAGAAAATTCAAGTTAATATAAGGGGATTATTCTAATTAAACCACAAGCTGCCAACTCAAACTGAGGATTTGTTGGGTGTTTGTGTGTGTGTGTGTGTGTGTGTATGTGTGTGTCTGCGTGGGCGCGCGCATGTTTTGGCTTGGCTTGCTTTTTATCAAAACTTGACAAAACGGAATTATGTACAATATATTCTTTTATTTTTCTCATTGATTTAGAAGACTTGTGTTTTGCCTTTTATAACTGAAAAAAAAATTTTTTTCCCCTACCAGTCTTGTCAAACTTTCAATTTTCTTTTTAATTGTAGTATTATCATCTGTAGCCACTATTTAGCAAGTAGATATTTTTTTATTGTTGTTTCAAAGGAATTATTTTCTGTGAATAACTAAATTTAATATTTGTGCAAAATAGAAGGATTTACAGTATTACAAGACACCTATGGTTTCTTTGAAAATACTTCTTCATATTTTAACAATCACAAGGTAAAACAAGAATGCAAAGAGAAGAAGAAAAATGAATCATCTATCATTATTTAAGTTCAGTCAGAGAGCATACCTATTTCAATATTTTTATTGAGCTAAGGAGTGACCATTCGAATAACCGTTTAACTCAATATATATATATTCCAAGATGGAACATATATGCTCATAGAGAGAACATATTCTTAATATGGTTTGATTTTTCAGAGTTTCATGTTTTTTGTTTTTTTTTCTATATTTTATTAATTTTCATAAACATTTACAGAGATTTTGGGTTTCCATTCATTCCTTGTTGCACTACAGAGTTTCATGTTTTGTTGGATTTACTAAATTTAAGATTGAAAAAAAAGGCTGTGAACTGGGTATATTAAAATGCCACAAAGAAAAAAAAAAGGATGTCAGATGTTCTATTTGCAAGCCCTTCTTCCAAATATCCTTATGGCAGTAGTCAAAAACAAAATTCTATAAAAGTAAAGAGCAGAACTTTTCAAGGTAGAGTAATTCTGAAAAATTTAAATATCTATGAAGTCTATTTTCTCTTATACTATAAAAATAAATTAAACATAAGCTTTGGTAAACATTTTGTTTAAGATAATCTAGGAAATTGCTTACTGGAAACTCATACAACATCTAATTATCCTGGATAAATAGACACATGAAAATAGTGTACTGATTATTTACCTTTTAACTCTATAAAGCTCTTCAGACTGGTTATACATACATATATTGTGTTCATGTTACATTAGGCAATATCAGGTAAAAACATTCAGAGAAAGGGACTTATTTTACTTCTCTACTTTCAGGGAGAAACTAGACACAAAGAATGGAAAGACTCACAGAGTATTTCCAAGAGAAATGAAGTAAACAAAAATATCAGGTACGAGAAATCAAAAGATAAAAAAACTCTAGATGTACTTCTCCATTTCAACATCTCTATAGCTGTAGAAACATTCTCTTTCATAAACCATCCAAGCCCAGGTGAACTGTGCAATATAATAATTCATATTGTTGGCAACATTATAAGTCCTAGGGAATTTATCAGAGCCTTGGACATGCAGTACATTCTTTACAGTGGTTCCTGGGCCTCAGAAGCTCTGGACACCTGGACATCCAAGACACTTCTACATCCAACAATCATGATTTTTAACAGAGGATGCCTTTTGGAATTGTTATCAGTGCTTTATAAGCTTGGTCACCCTGCAGATGATTTATTTTAGGTGACAAAATGTTGACTTTATGAAACTTTCAGGTATTATGAAGTTATGAGTTTCACAATGTTAGTTGACTTATGCCTCAATTTCTTAAGTGATTCCTGTTTTGCCATATGGCAGCTTTGCAAATCACGAAACTAAAAGCAATACTATGATTCATTTGAACATCGGTGGTGCAATGAAAAAAGGACAGATTTATTCCCCCAAATCTGTGCAAGAATTTTGAACTTTCATCACCTTAGTATTTAATCTTGAAGAACTTGACAAACTACTCTGCGTCTTCCCCCACCCCCCCATCAACAAAATGGAAACCATAACTCAAAATTTACTGCAGGTATATTTAAATGAAGAGAATATTTTATGATACCAGAGAAATAATTAGTGTTTAATAATCATATATATTTACTTTGGAAAAATGTAGCACAGAAGAAAAGGGAAGGGTAATTCATTTGAACAAAGTAAGAAATTCAGCTCACCAGATACTAGGCAGAAGAACAAATTTTGCATGTGGTAGATTTTCGGTAATGATTTATTGTCTGAAATGTTAACTTGTCCATATACGATTTTGCAGTTGGAAAAAAAAAACAACCCAAAACTTCAGAATGATTGTAATTTTTTTTCCTTTTTTTAAATCTCGCTTGGTCCTTCCTGCTATGCCATTGCTTCCTTTCTCTATACCCTCAGAATATCCTTGACATCCTCAACAGGAAAGCTTATCTGGGTAATAATACATTTGCTTAACTTACAAGGAAATAGTTATAAAATATCTAGACAATAGCTGTGTGATAAATATTACAAACACACTTTATAGATACATTATAGCTAAACAAAAATACAATTTAAATTCATATGAAAAATACTAATTATACATCTAATATTATGCTTTATAATTTGGGATCTCAACTTTCAAGACCCAAATTTGAACTAAAGTCAGTTTTGTACTGAACTAGTTTGTTTCTCAAAATATCTTTTAGCAAGATTAGTTTCGCTGAGAGGAAAATATAACGTCTACTTACATTTGGATTTATTTATTTGAGCATTTATTATGTTTCAATACCTTATAATTTGTGAGTTCTAGTGAAGTTATTTTACTGACAGGGACAATGTGTCAAAGAAAAGTGGGTATTCAGTACTTGAAATGAAATAATTGTGCAAAGGATGTTGATTATTGGTTTTTAGAAGGTAGAAACAGAATGATTTGGCAAGTTGCTAAGGAAATGAAGGGTTTATTTCTCCATGATAGGCTTCTAATCACGCTGATTTTTCTGTAGGTTTGCTGAAATGTTCTGATTTTAACTTTATCTGAGGATTTAAATGTTGGTATCTTGGAGAAGAGGTTTTAAATAGACCACTACATTATGCCATCTTGTAACCAGGAAATCCAACCAGTTACTGAACGTTGTACCTAGTTGGGTTTTTCCATAAAGATTATTTCAAAGGGATTTTTGATAGTTTTCATTTAAAAAAAAATCTTGTTAGTTTTCTTTTTTCATTGTGTCCTTAACCAACTATATCAAAATAGAACTCATTTCATAAGGGGTAAAAAGGAATCCCACAGCACTGCTTTTTAATAACTGTTCAGCTACAAAATTTTATTGGTATCCTTTTATGTTCCCTCTAGAGGATGTAAAGCACAAAAGCATTGCCACGGAACATATAAAATTACAAATGAAATTTATTGTAAAAAGTAGAACGTCTTCTAGACTGGTGTCAGTATTTATTTCATTCATAAACGAAAACTGCAATATAATATATTCATTGTCAGCAAGTTCATGTGTGTAAATTGCCATCCAATGTTATTGACTGATATAAGACAGATATTGAAAAGACAATTTAAATTTACTCTTCCAAACATAAACTGTTCCACAAAAGCACTGTAAAAACTCCCTCAAGATTTTGGGTTGTGCTTGACATGTATGGTTAACTACACAATTTGGTCGTGTCATAATCCACTGTGTTTGGCAATTTGGCATTAAATGCCTTCAGAGCAGACTGGATTCTCACCACCTCACTAGTAGACAGCTTGAGTCTATGACGAAGCAAGCAAGAAAAAAGATCTAGAAGTCGCTGACCAGGTGGGGAGAGTTTATTTACACGGTCTCTTATCTCTAGTAGTTGCAAAAGTGCTGAGTCCTGGGATCCCTGAGTATAGGGGTAGTCCAGCTGCAAAATCAAGTCCCGAATTGCTTCAGGGTCAAAGTGCATGCTGTAGCCAAACACTTGAATGTTATTGATTTTCATGTAGCCCAGGTTCCGTGATGGGTCAATAAACTCCAGAGGTTCGTAGTAAATGCTCTCGTTGCCATTGGGGCCGTTTGACTTGATGCGGCTCCGCAGGTAGATGTGTACTGTCTCAAAAAATGTCTTCCATTTGTTCCCCAGCGTCAGCGTCCAGTTGTAACACTGCAGGGGTAGGTCCAGTTTAGTCCGTTCCCAGTCTGGAAAACTGTTCTCATTCACAGGCATAAACCAGCTCTCGGAGTGGCTGCCCCCAAAGGGATTCACGTAAACAGCCAACACTGGTTCCAAGGTGCTGTTTTTAGTTAAGCAAATCTGTAAAGAGAGACCCAAGATCATGTGGACGAGACTGGACTTGTACTTGTTACTCTTCAAGGTGAGTAACATGCGCTTCCGCCAGGAAGGGTCAAACCAGCTGTTGAGGCGCATGTCGTTGCTAATAAAAATGGCATGGACTTCTATTCGTCGGTCTGTTTTCTGCAGCAGGTATTTCATCTCAAGGTCTTGCAGATCTGTCTCAAAGCCAATGTAATGATCCGTGGACTCGGCGACCTCGGGCTTGCACAGGCCCTGGCTCAGCATGTAGCCGGTGTTGCAGGAGCCGCAGCGGGTGCGGTTGTCTGGTGCACAGGTCAGGCAGGCTGAGGCGTCACCCACTGTGCAGGGCAGGAAGGAGGTGCACACCACCTGGTCATTGGGACATGTGCAGGAGTGCGTCTCTTCTGAGAAGCTGCCCAGGAGACCATTCTCATTGCAGTAAAGGAAAGACTGGATGCGAGAGAGCCAGTAGGTTGACGTTCTGAAAATATAAAGCAAAAAGAATTTGTTGTAAGTACAGAGAAAATTTTAATGTATTGAATAAAGGAAACCTGGTTTCTGAAAGCCGCATTATCATTTGTCATGTTAACTGCAGTTGACTCTCAAAAGAGATAGTATCTATATAGTTCAAATTAGAAAATATCTGTAAACGTAATAACTTAAAAACATCAATGTATGGGAGCTTTGATGGCCTAGTGGCAAGAAACTGCACTGCAATCCCAGAGGTGCAAGGTTCAAATTCACCAGTTGCTCTGCTGGAAAAAGGAGGAACAAACTCCTCCTGTACCAGTCAGATCTGATTTGATGGTACACACACACATAATAATAATAATAGTAATAATAATAATAATAATAAACCCAAATGTCAATGTGCAAAATTATATATATATTGTTGTTATATACTGTTCAGTTGGGATCAACTCATAGCTAACCCTCTTGTGGGTATAAATGACATCCCAGAGAACAGCTAGGATTTAAACTATGGTGGACATTGCAATTCCTTACCACTAAGCCACCAGAGCTACCCAAGATTAGATATAGGTAACTCTCTCTCCTTCTCATTGGTATCAAATGAGTTTTCAGAGGCTGTAAAATACAAGGGAGCAGACTGGTCATCTTTCTCCATCTAGGGAAGCAGTTTGTGGCTTCAAATCACTGGTCTGTGCTTTGGCAGCACAACTCCCAATCTACTAGACCCCTAGAGCTCTCTAGATATAGGTATTTTCTTATGTACCATCATCCTAACCGACTCATAGTTAACAGTCCAACTAATTTTCAGAGGCTATTAAATGTATTGGAGGAGACTTGACATCTTATGCAACAGAGTAGCAGGTGGATTAAAGCCATGTGCCTTTTGGTGGCAGCATGGCTCCTTATCACTAGGCACCCAGAGCTCCCTTATTTCAAATCAGAAGACAATATTTTTGAATGTACCAGAATGGTCCATATTTATTCTTTATTGATTATGCAAAGACATTTGATTGTATGGATAATAACAAGTTGTAAATAGCATTGTGAAGAATGGGAATCTCAGAAAACTTAATTGTGTTCATGTGAAACATACGTACACTAGGATGTTATTGTCTGAACAGAGTAGAGGAACATTTCATGGTCTAAAATGATTTAAAATCTACACATATGTGCTTCAAGGCTGTATCTTTTTCTCAATCTGTGTGCAGAGGAAATCATCAATGAAACTGGATTTTATGAAGAAGAATGTAATATCAGAATTTGAGGAAGACACATCAACAACTTGTAGTATACAGATTATATAATTTTACTTTCTGAAAATAAGGAGGATCTGAGATGCTTTGCTGCAGAAGGTCAAAGACACAGCCTTCAATGTGGATTACATATCAACATCAAGAAACAAAAATCCTCACTACTGGGTCAAAGGCAACTTAAATGAAAGACAGCGAAGAGGCTGAAGTTGTTAGCAATTTTGCCGAGTTAGGATTCATAAAATATACATTTGGCCACAGTAGTCAAGAAATAAAAACAAACAAACAAACAAACAAAAAACCCAAGTAGTGTTATAAAGGTCTGAGGTCAGGGATTTCTCCAAGGTAATGAGGAATTGTGATGTCAGTTTGAGGTTCTGACTCTATAGTACACAACAACAGCAATCCAAGACATGGTATTTTCAATTGTTGCATCAGAAAGCTGGATAAATATGGCAGTGTAAGAATCAATGCCTTTTGAGTTATGATGGTGGAGAAAAATGTGGAAGTGGAGAAAAGAGTAGAATTAGAGGCTGTATTTGATGATTACACTCAATTCAATGAAACATTAGTATTCATTAGCCTGAACAGTAATTAATAAAGGAAAGAATATGCAACTCCAAACTGTCAGTCAATGTCTTTATATACTAGAGTTTGAGCAACATTGGAAGAACAAAGGCTTACACTGAAAAAAATTTATTAAAACATTTTTTTATTTTCTTCTTGCCAATCTTGAAGAAGCTGGCTGAAAATATGTCACTAAAACCAACTACAAGTTATTTTAATAAGGTTAAATTTATTAGATTAATATTTTTTACTCCTCTCATTAGCATTTTTCTTATTTATACAGTGATAGTAGGACAATCATATTACTGTATTCCTATTTTTCTCACTCCATTTCCATCAGTGAGAACTAATAGAATCTCACTTTTAAAATATGAAGTGGCTGTTAAAGGCCTTGTATCCAGATAATGTCTTAATTTTTTATTAATATATGTGTTGTTGATTGCTGTCAAGTGGAGCACGACTCATAGCAACCATATGAACAAAAGACTTGCAGCCTTTTTATAACTATCATTTCTCAAAGTTCATAGAGTTTCCAGAGACATGTTGCTTAGGAAGTTGATGCCTAATATGTTATTTTATCAATATCTCTGATATACATCATATAATGTTATATATTATTATATATAATATAAAATTAATCACTTGCTATGCATCAGAGAGCTGGACATTAACTAAGGAGGACAATAGAAGAATTGATGCCTTTTAGTTGTGGTGCTGCAGAACTTACCATTGACCACAAAGAAAACAAATAGGTATGTCTTAGAGAGGGAGAAACCAAGTTTCTCCTTGGATGCAAGGATTTTGAAGCTCTGTCTCACATATTTTGGGCACATGTCCAAAAGGGTCCAGTACTTGGAAAGGTCATCATGCTCAGAAGGGTGGAGGGACAGCATAGGAGAGGAAGACCCTGGCTGAGAGATGGATTGATACAATAACTAGAGCAATGAGAGTAGGTGTGTTGGAGTCAGTAAGGCTGGCTCAGGACAGGGCAGGCTTTAGAGCTATTGTACATACATGACACAACTGCACACAACAACAATAACGATAACAAATTTACATATATATGTATATAAACATCTATACACATAGGGATATCAGGTGACTTTTTTGTTAAAAGCTGGACTAAAATTTCAAAGCACATGGTTTGAATCCACCCAACTCTAAATGAGAAGGATGGGCAATCCTCACCCATGAAATTACTGCCTCTGAAAACCTGCTAGGGGGTAAGCTATGAGTTGGTTCTGACTTGATGGCACACAACAATACACATATACACACACATACACATAAACACACACAGTACATAAAAATAGTAAACCCACAGCAACAAATATGCGTGTGTGTGTGTGTGTGTGTGTGTGTGTGTGTATTTGTCAAACCCTCTACTGTTAATTCTGACTGATAGCAAACTCCACTTGGTAGCCAAGGTGTTAATTTCCTTCATGAGTAAATTTCTCATCTTTCTCCAGCCAAGGCTGAGCACCTGGTGGGCTCAAATGACAGACTTTAGACTTATCAGCCTGACACATATGGCATGTTATGCCATTAAGGGTATTTGTGTGTGTATGTATATCAATAAAATATATTATATATGTAGTTTTTGTAAGAAATGTAATCCTTGAACACTTTATATTCAGAATATTTTGTAGTGTCTGTTTCTTGTGGTGTTCTATATGTGGTAGATGCCAGGGAATCTATTCTGAACTCAGAACGACCTTATGCAAACCAAAACGAAATATTGCCTCGTCCTATGCCACATTCACAATCTCCTCTGTGCTGAAATGTCTTTTGCAGTCATTTTATCAGCCTATTTCATTGAATGACTGCTTCTCTTTCTCTGATGTTGTTGTGCAGTGTAATTGGAAGCGACTTACAGTTGACTCTCCAATGAGTTTTCAGACATAGTAAATCTCATGGGAGGAGAGTAAACATCTTTCCCCTTTGAAAATGTTGCTGGATATGAACTGCATAACAATGACAGCACAATTCTTTACCACTAAGCCACTAGGTTATGGCTTTTTTAAATATTCTGATTCTTTTCTGGTGGTCTTGATTTGAAATTTATACAAAACATGTACTCAAACATCATCATGATTTTAGAGAGTTTACTGTGTGCAGATTGTAAAAAAAACTATTAATATATTTGTATATTCAATATATTCAAAATATTTTCAAACAATATTTGGAATTATATTTGGTCTGTTTATAATTATCTTTTTATTTTCTTTATACCATGAGTTTATTTTTCTTTATAATATTACTCTTCTCTTAAAGGTTTACTTATACTTGTTTATACTGTATTTCTTCCTTTAAATCTATTATCTAGTTAGTTAGAAACTTGTATTTTTACTTATTGTGTATACAGTGCCTCACAAGTTTTCAGGCAATCCTAATCTTTGCTATTTCCAGAATATTGAAAAAAATTCATGGGACAATCAAAGGACACATTGCACAGATAAATCAAAGGAAAAAATGCATAAATAAATCAAAGGAAAATTTCTCAGCAAGTGTATTTTAAAACAAAATTTAAAGCCATACACCTACTTTTTAATATAAATGGAAAGACTTATCTACAAAGTTGCAGGCTGTGCAGTTATACAACATACACTTTAACATCAGACAGCTAAGTGCACTACAAAAGCCTTTCTTTTCCACTTTCACTCAATTCACTAAAATGTTTTCTACAGATCCTGAAGAAAGGGTAAAAACAAAGAAAAACAAAACATCTTTCTCTTTCTTTCTCACACTGAGAAACACTGGCTATAAACCTAAACCTGTTCAATTCATTTCTAGATGCTTTTAAGATAAATTCTCTGAAATACTCTCTAGGGTCTGCCCAACGGTTTTGAAATTATCAAAAATGTCTGGCTCTTTGGCACTACAGGAGATAAACTTCTATGTACTATAGGAGAATCTTTACTCCTCTCTGCTTTTTCTTGTTTTCTTACCACCTTTATATCAGATTCTTTATTTATTTTTTTAGATTAATTAAAAAACTCACTGTAGGGTCAGCTATGGGTAGGTTCTGACTCAACAGCACCAATAACAACTTTTGTATTTGTAGCCTAAAAAACCCCAATAATGGTGTGCTGTAACTGTAGTACTGGAGAAAGAGTGTTTGAATATTTTCTGGACTGCTGTGGTGTAAAAAGTTTATTCAAAATGGCTTTTCTAGCCATTGAGTTTGATGGGC